GAAAATACTGGCAGAATATGTAGACGTCTAATATAAGGCTAGGTCACATATAGCAAGAAAATACTGGCATAATTTATATACCCAACACGATAAGACGGGAACTAAGGTCTTTTTATAGTACAGCACGAAATACGGGCACAATATGGAGGCGTCTAATATAAGACTAGGTCACATATAGCAAGAAAATACTGGCACAATATGCAGGACCAACGTGACGGTCTCGCATAGCACAATAATACTGGCATACTATGTATGTAAGGCTAGTTCCCGATAAGCAAGAAAATACTGGCATACGCAGGCCCAGCGCGATAAGACGTTCTCATATAGCAAGACATACTGGCATAATATGTAGACCGTCTAATATATTACTAGGTCTAATACAGCAAGATAATACTGGCATAACATGTAAGCTGTCCAATATAAGACTAGGTAACATACAGCAAGAAATAACTGACCTAATAAGTAGTTCTAATATGATAAGGCTAGGTTACATATAGTAAGAAAATACTGGCATAATGTGTAAGCCTAACATGATAAGGCTAGGTCACATATAGAAAGATATTACTGGCATAATATGTACTATGTAGACCTCTAATATAAGGCTAGGTCTCATAGTGACTACTAAGCAAGATAGTAGTGGCATAATATGTAGGCTTAGTGTGATAAGACGGTCTGAAAAAGCAAGAAAATACTGGCAAAAGAAAGTAGCTCAAGCCGGGATGAGACGATGCACAGCCGGGAAATTTGAAAAAAAAAATAATAATAATAACAGGAACACCTTTATCACTGTGTACAGTAAACTGATATCTTGAGCTCGGAAGGACGTCTCTGAGTCCATCCAGCTCTGTTGGGTACCTAGCTTACAATAGGGAAAGTAACAGCGGATTTACAATGAAGGACACTGACATTTTAAGCTGTCGTGTTATTCAAAACGGATGGACTTCCTCGGGCATATCAACATGTTTATAAGGCCGGCAACCGCGAAAACGAAATCGCAACAGAAAAATGTGCACGGGAGTTAGATCTACGTCTAGATCAATTGGGAGCTAAAGGTCTAGTCCGACTGAGAGCTAAAGAGCTTGCCTGACTTAATCTAGAAGCAAACAGCGAGCGGAGCACTAATTTTTAAGCTTCGTTTTCTCAAACTGCGTTTTTAACTTTACCTCAGCGCTAATGAATTAAAAACATTTTAATTAAAAACTTTTTTTTTATGAATCTAAAGTACATTTAACAAGGCATGACAGGCCAAGCCTAACCAGCATACCATGCTAGTTTCAACAGCAGCCCCTCCCCTCTGTTTACTTTCATGTACACACTCCATGTGGGGTGTCAGGCTTAGTCCCCGCCGGTGAGAGGACGCACCACACCTATTTTAGGAACATTTTCTCTGCTTGTTTAACACAATTAACACAAAAAAAAGTTCAATCCAAAATCTCCGTCACACCACGAATTTAGGATCGGTTTGTACGGTTATATATAAGAGGGTCATCCATAAGTGATGTCACGATTTTTTTGGGCGATTTTTACCTTCCCTTCCTTCCCTCCGTCACAAAAAGCCAGGCACCCCCCCCCCCCTTCCCCCCAAAAAACGTCACACCTTTGAATTTGTTTTTTAAAACATCGACTTGTTTCCAAAACATTGACTGAGCTCGGTCATCATAATGTATTTTAATCAATTTCTATTTTAATTTATTAAAACAGTTTTCTAAAACGCGAAATAACGGCTAAGTTTCAGATTCTAGCATTACTTTTAAAAATGCAAAAACGAAATGCCTGAAAGGAAAAAAATACAGCAGTGAATCACAAATCGTTCTTGTACTCCGGCCTATATTTGAAGGTGACCAGGTTGAAAAACTGCCCTCTCTATACGTAATTTTTTTAAGGTCTAGAAATTCACTAGTTCGCTCCATTTATTTGTATTAATAAAACGATGCCGGTCAAACTATTGCTTTTGCACTTAGCATTATAACTTATTTGTGACGCAAAGTAATTAATGTACCCTTTCAAACCTGGGTCAGATGAAGTAGAGTTCACCTGTTTTATTAACCTCGTTAATATGAAAGTACATTGTGGTCGGCACTATGCCCAGCCACTTTTACAGTTTTACTTTTCGGTTTCCTAACGTGAGTTAGGTACCCTTCAGATCTGGGACCAGAGTTTTATCCAGGTATCTCTTTCTGAACGAAATATGATATAGAATCCAGTGTTTGCCCCCCCTCCCCTTGAAAATTTAGTTCAATTTAGTCCACACCCCCCTCCCCCCCCCCGTCACCCCAAAAATTTCAAGTGCCCTACTCGAGAAAAAAGTCTGAAAGAAACACTGACTAGGACTAGGACATGCTACAGTATCAAACCTGGGATTCGAGGTGACTCGCAATAATAAACAATCAATTTAGTACCCTGTCAATACTAAAGAACATCACATTTGTTTGCAAAAACAAATGGATATAGTAGGGATATCAATGTGGTAATCGATTAATAGGCAAAAATGTTAGGTTATGCCAAGATCTACAAAAATAATAATTTATTAGGTTATACATATAATATTAAGCCTTAATTATTAATTTATGATTACCAGTAAATAAATTTAATAAAAATAAAGTAGGATAATAAAAGATAACTAAAATAAAATAATAATGAGGGTCCATATAATCATAGCTCAGACCTGAAATTGAGTTTCGTTTAATTATAAATTACATTTTCATTTATTACAATTTATACATTTGTATGATTTATGAAGTGAATTTTCTTCTGCATTTGCTAGTATTTTGTCTTTATCAATTAAGTTGATCCCTTGGTAAAGAGCAATTGATTTGCACAATTGCAAATCCCTAATATCTATTAATGCAAACAACTAAATATTGACCAATAGCAAAAGTGAGGGGTAGAACATGACATATTGTGGGTTGGTACCAAAGTCTGTCCTTGGGAACAACCAAACATCCACTGCAGGCTATTCAGACTATTTAAAACCCTAATCTGTGTAGTGAGGGCAGATTATTCCAAATTGGTTTTCAAATTCCTGATTTCTCCCTCCAATTTCAGCATTAACCCTCCATCCTCCTTTATTTATTTCAAAAAACAGCATCAAAGCTCCACTCTACACCTATGAGTGCAATGGCTCTAATTGGCAACATGTGTAACTAAAAATCTCAATAAATTAATGGAAATTTATTTGCCAACACTTTTTTAAAAGTATCAATGCCAAAATTCTGCATTAAATGTCTTTCTTCTTATTCCTTTATGCACACATCTTGGATCTCCACTGGACTCTGTTTTGGGCAGATCTCTTTATTATAAAGTTTATATATATGCTCATCTAAGCCTGATATCCTTTGCCTCTTCTTCTCCTGTTCTTCTCCAAGACTTTCTTAGCTGGCATTATCTCCATTTCCCCTGGGGATTCCAGTGTAGTGCTTTCTTCACAATATTATCCTCTTCCCTTTTCAGGGTATGACCAATCCATCACCATTTACAGGCTTTAATGTCCCTGTCTATTGGCTGTTGTCAGTAGCGTAGCGAGGGGGGGGGGCGGGGACATATGTCCCCGGGCGCCGACCTTAGGGGGGGCGCCAAATTGAAAGTTTGAGGGGGGTGCAAATGAAAAGTTCGAGGGGGGGGGGGTGCAAATCAAAAGTTTGTTTGAGGGGGGGTGCAAATGAAAAGTTCGAGGGGGGGTGCAAATCGAAAATTTGCTCTCGAGGGGGCGCCAAATTGGAAGTATGTCCCCGGGCGCCGGGAAGGGTCGCTACGCCTCTGGCTGTTGTTTGGTGTTTTGCCACAGATCTCTATTTGTCATTTTGTCTGGGCATTTTCAAGGACCTGTCGCAAACATCTGTAGCCTCAATAGTACCGTATATATAGAAAATATATAAAAGCCTCTAGGTCAAAACTGTTGTTATGTTGGATTATACTAATTTAAAACAAAATCTGTGCATAGCCATAAATTAAGGAAAATATTGGTCAATATTTAGCATTTTGTGCTACTCCAGTGGGAATTTTATATATCTTAAATACCTAAAGTAAAAGGTAAACTTAATAAACCTTTAGATTTTAACACAGATAATGATAATGAGTAGCTAAACCAAACTAAATTCCAGATCTGAATTAAATAGTGGGATGTGGTTATATTGCATCGAATCTACACAGTGATGATGACACAAGGGCCCAGCCTGGGTCTGAAAAGGATCAATCTCGTAATCTAGAACTTTGGAACTATTACTTAACAGCAACTGTGTGTACTAGTACTACTACTAGAATTACAAGATTATGCCTTATGGTAGGCTACTAAAACTACTAGTACTGGTACTAGTCGAGATTTCAACTAGATTTATTAAGAGAATTTAACTCTAAAGCAGACTACCAACAGTCGACAGGTTATGCCAACTGACTTACACACTGGGCACTATCACTACACACACTCAGTGTCACAGTGTACACGTGTAGTCACATAGTGATACTATTACTGTTACAGTTAGGCATACCTACACAATTGTGACAATAAATTAATAAAAATTATATTAAATACTTAAATAGGCCTACTTAAATACACACGCCAGTTACATAACACCAGACAAAACAGTTTCTGAGTTTCACCTTGTCTAGAGAATTAGCAGTTGATTAAAAAGTCGATTAAATAAATAGTAAAGTAGAACAGTTTAAAACTGAGTTTACTAAACTAAACTGTAAACTTTACTTTAGTTAGTGTAGTGTTAGATTCTATTATATAGGCCTAATTGTAATTAATTCTAGTTAGTAGGCCTACAGAACAGAATTACAGTTGAACAGATGAGGAGATACTGTATTAAAATGTTACTATTTTTACTGTCAGATACGTACAGTACAGTAGTCTGACTGAGTAGATAAACGATTAACGATGCCTTGTAATAAAAAAACAAACAACTAGATCTATTACGAAACTGAAATCCAGCGACCAGGTAAAAAAAAATTAATAAACATTGACAACACCCATTGAAAACACAGTAAACTAGTCTACTTACATCATAAGAATGTTGTTTTCACTTACGTAAGAACTGGGCTACCAGATCAAAATGTTGAAAAATTGCCGATCATCCTTTTAGTAGTAGGGAAAAAACATCAGTGTATATGGGGTATTATTATTATTATTTAGATCTATATCTATTTATAAACTAATAATTTATAGCAACTCCATAGATCATCACACACTTGTTTAAAACATTTCTAGAATAAATTACCCATCACAGAAAACTAAATCGTTGATATTAGGCCACACACATGTTATTTGATTTCTATTGTTATTGTAGAAGAATAAAATGTTTATTACTGTAGAAAATTTGAACATAAATTAATCTATGCTATTGAAAATATCTTTAATTAAACTTTAAAAAAGTATTCTTTAGGAGGGCCTACAACAAATATATTCTATTCGGTAAATTAATTTTAATTAGATCCAATTTATATCTTAGTAGGCTAAACAACGGGCATTAAGTCAATTTTAGCGTCAATTGTCTGAGTTATCTACCTTGAGATTTTTTTTAGACTTTTGAATTTTTTTTTAATATATATATATATATTTTAATTTTTAGAATGTTTAGTGTAGAAATTAGAATTAGACCCATGAATTATGTCGATTATTTCATATTTGCAGGTATAACAAATATTAAAATTTGAAAACTTAGGCCCTCTTGATGCTAAAACTTCTCATCATTGAATAAAGACAATCAGATACAGATCTCTAAGAGGAGGAAGGCGGTCTGCCGATACTTTATGTTCCACTTCAATTTTAATAATTATTTGTAAATTAAAGAAGGGGGCTAAAAATCACACACCCTTTCCCCTTTCCAAAATAAAAGTAACTGTTTGTTGAGTTACAGCAGATAGGTGCAGTTTAAAAACTGAATGTCATAAAAAAACGTTTATACGTTCTTAAATTGGTTTTTGTAGATAAAATATGTTTAAAAAAGGCCTACTTTTGATTTTGGCAGCATTAAAAATTGGTTTCTTTACCTAGTCAATCTATAAGTAATCTGGAGTGTTTTGTTTTAATTTTTCAAAATCATGTAATGGGGTTCATGATTGAATTAAACGTTTCTTAAGCAAATTTACTTGATATCCAATTATGTTGCCTAGTGATACAGCGTCCAGTTGACCTAACATTGTGGTCTAAGAATAAATGGTTGCCTTCAGATGTTCCTTGTGCGACACCTCAACATTTTATGTTGTATTGTGTTACTTCATAAAGTGAGCGAATTCATCTTACATTGATATTTGTAAAGGTATTGTGTTACTCAGTGGCGTAGCCAGGATCGTCTCAAGGGGGGGGGGGGGTCCAATTTTTACCCGGGGACAAACTTTCGATTTGAATCCCCCCCCCCCCTCAGACTTTTGATTTGCACCCCCCCCCCCCCCTCAAACTTTCGATTTGCACCCCCCTCATATTTTATATATATATATATATATATATATATATATATATATATATATATATATTATATATATATATATATATATATATATATATATATATATATATATATATATATATATATATGTAACGAGTCCCCGAGTCTATCCTGCCGACAACGCCAAATGTAACGAGTCTCTGGCTACCCTGCCGACAACGCCAAATGTGACCTTCCCGAGTCTAACCACTCATTCCACACAACATTGACCACAGCATAGATACTCGAAGATGCAGGTTCATTATTGATCCTTTTATTACATGAATCAAAGAATGTTTCACAATAATATATTGAATCAAGAGAGATGTTTCACAATAATAGTCTGAATCAACGGACCCCCAACAGTCCTCACTAGGCTTCATCTAACTGAATACACATGTCTAACGTCCTTCTTAACACAATATAACCAACTTGATACTGCCACACAGACTCACTGATCGAAAGCGAGCGAGAGAGAGAGACTGACGGACTGACTGACAGACCTTCCGAGACCGACTTTCTGAGAGAGACTTCGAGCTCAGCCGTCGCCTTCCTTATATCCCCTTCATAATCGTACTCATATTCGGTCCTATCATAATCGTAATTGTAATCGATTCTAATCGTTACATCAGACTGTTAATTACGCCGCTTCTGTCGTACAGTCCGATTTTAATAAGCCACCTGCATCCTGTCACATCAAAGTTGACAGACCGTCTTTCGTATCGCTTCCCGAGATACTACGCCTTGGCATCAGCCAACACCTGCACTGTGACGTCAGACTGTAACACGTTATGTCTCTTGGTAACTTCCCCTAGTTACATCCACCCCTGCCTTTTTTTGTGTGTTATCAACCACAAACAACGCTTGGCAGGTGCAGTCCTTCAAAGTCCATCGCACCACCGTAAAAAAAAATCCATTGTTCCACTCACTGTCAATGTCGTCACATTCGTATAAGATTGACAGTTATCCCTATTTCACATATCCAATGTGTCTACATCATCTTCCTCAGACACAAAACAGTTCTAGAATTCACATCCACCTTTTTTCGTCTGGTGCCTTCACCAGTTCACTTTTATGACTTTTTGAACAGTCTGTTCTCATACCAGCGCGACCATGAAAGAATTGATGGTTGCTGACAAAAAATTTCGTATTCTTTCTGTTTCTCAAACTTCTCCGCGGACCACTTATCTGATGGTCTACTGTCTCTCTGCTTTTGGAGGGACCGGGATCCTCCTTGTTGCCGGTATCCTCCCCTTGTGTGTCGCTGTTGTTCTGTTGATGGTGACATGGTTCCGGGATGGGTATGAGAATTTCCGTTATAGTTTCCGGTTCCCTAATTGTCTTGGGTTTCCTTGTGTGTAACTGCTCTCCTTGACTATGACAATATTTCTTTAATTGAGCAATATTCGCCCACCGATCCGGTTTGGCGTGATCGATGGGTCTTATCTTAAAGGGGCCACCTGCTACTTTAGGCATCTCCACGACTTGCCATATCTCCTGTCGCCAGTGGTCGTGGATTTTGTTTCTGCCTAACGGGTGGCTACGCAGTAATACCCTGTCGTTCAGTTTGAGTGACGGGTCCTTTGTCTGTACCGGCGGTTCCCTTCGCCGTGCTTCATGTTCTAGTCTTCCCTGTACTACCCTGTACATTTCTCTAATTCGTCTCATATGTTCATTCACATATTCCAGTGCAGTGTATGAGCCAGTCATACTCTCCTTTTTTCCTAGGAACAAGTCAAGGGGGAGTCGAGCCTCCCGTCCGAACAGCAACATGTATGGCGAAAAGCCGGTTGTGGCATGGGGTGTGCAGTTGTATAGATATACCAACTCTGGGAGAAAATCAGGCCAACGTTTTTTCTGTTCAGGTTCTAGAGTACGCAGCAAATCATGCATGCTGCGGTTGAACCGCTCGCACTGTCCGTTTCCTTTCGGATTAAATGTGGTTGTTCTAGATTTGTTGATCCCGTAGTGGCTGCACAGTTGGTTAATTACTTCTGACTCAAAGGCCCTTCCTTGGTCAGAGTGTAATTGTCTTGGTATGCCATATTTGATGAACCAATGTTCTATTAAGACCTTTGCCACTGTTTTGGCAGTCTGATCTCGTGTGGGCACCGCCACAGTCCATTTGGTGAAAACATCAGTCATTACCAACACATGTTCCGTCCCATCCGATGATTGCTCCAACGACGTAAAGTCCATAGCCACAATCTCTAGTGGTTTTGTCGCTAATAGGTGTCCCGATGGCTGTCTCATTTTGACCACTGGCATTTTCGCATGCTGACACCTCACACAAGCCTCACAATGGCGTTTGACCTCCATTTCCATATTGGGCCAGTAACACCTTCGTCGTAATATTTTGTGCGTCCTGTCCTGACCCTGGTGTCCTGCCCTGTCATGTGCCAACCTTAGCACTTCTTCTCGTAATTGTCCAGGCACCACCACCTGGTGTATTGTCCCATCAATTTGGTCATGAATTCTCCGCATGAGAACACCATCCTTTATACTGAGACGGTCCCACTGACTCAGTATTTTCTTTGTTTCTCGACCAAATTGTTCTCTTTCCCTTCTTCCTGGGAGTTTTTGTTCCTGGACGTGTTTCAACAGCGGCTGTAAGCCACTATCCGTTCTCTGGGCATTTCTTATTTCTTTGTGATTAAGGCAACTAAAATCACCAATGTCCATATGTCCGGGCTCTGTGGAAATGTGCTCCACCCCGGTCTGTCCGTTCTGCCTCACTTGCACCCCGTGAGGGATATCTGTTGACGCTCTGACCTCACATATTCCTGTCAGCGTTTCTTCCTCATCGCCCGGTCTCTCGTAAGGATTCCTTGATAAGGCGTCCGCATTGCCATTGGACCGCCCCGGGCGATATTTTATCTCTAGGTCAAAGAGTGCCAATTCTGCTGCCCATCGCTGTTCGATGGATCCCAACTTTGCTGTCTTTAGGTGACTCAAGGGGTTATTGTCAGTGTATACCACACATTTAGCACCTAATAGATAGTCCCTGAATTTTTCCGTCACAGCCCATTTTAATGTCAAAAGTTCTAGTTTCATGGCGCTGTAATTTGTCATGTTCTTCTCTGATTCCTTCAGAGCTCGACTGGCATAAGCAATAACCCTGAAACCTTGCCTTTGTTGTTGTGATAGCACAGCTCCCAGACCTTTAGAGCTGGCGTCAATTTCTAGCCGAAATGGTTTGTCAAGGTCTGCGTATCCTAATATCGGCGCCTCTGTCAAAGCCTTTTTCAATAGCTTAAACGAGTTCAGGCATTCATCAGTCCATAATTCACCTATCAGTTGTGTTTTACCTTTCTTTTTCTCCTTACTGTGTTTCTTTGTCATTTTGTTTACCAAGTCATGCAACGGTGCGGCAATTTTTGCAAAACCAGGTACAAATTTTCTATAATAGGAAGCAAAGCCCAAGAATGATCTGACCTCTACTGTAGTTGTTGGCTGTTTCCATTCTTTAACAGCTGCAATTTTATCTGGGTCAGTGGCGATGCCATCCGACGAAATCACGTAACCCAAAAAATGTACCGATTTCAGACCGAAGCAGCATTTGTCTGGGTTCAGCTTTACTCCTATCTCCCTAAGACGGAGAAACACTTGTTCTAA